CTTTTAAAGGCTTATGTGCTCATATTTTGCATGCTCAGAGCTGGGAAAAGGATGGACAGAGAAGCCGGATGGATTTTGGAATTTGTGGCTAAGCATCGATTCGTTGCCATTGGCCAATATTTCGGCTTTATGCTGTGAAACAATGCGGCCTAATGCCTAAAAGTTTGGCAGGAGGTTTTGATTTTAGCGGGCAAAAGTCAAACGAATTCACTTCCGTATAAGTTTGGCCCGCTTTACTCCTTTGCTTTCTATTGTGCCTGTGCTTTCTGATGCGAGTGGACCCGGAAATGAAAGTGCTGGCAATTAAATTAGGGCTATAAGGTTGCTCCAAAGACACTAGAATAATAAGATGCGCAACGCCATACGATTTTTTTGCACACGATTTTTTCGGGCTGGTTAAACATTCTTCAGGCTTTAATTAAGACAATTTGTACTACTTTGTGCAAGTAACACATACACTACATACATACATACATGCATACATACATACATACATACATACATACATACATACATACATACATACATACATACATACATACATACATACATACATACATACATACATACATACATACATACATACATACATACATACATACATACATACATACATACATACATACATACATACATACATACATACATACATACATACATACATATATATATACATACATACATACATACATACATACATACATGCATACATACACCAGTACATACACCAGTACATACACCGGTACATACACTACACTCACTGCTCGACACTCACTCTCGGTAAGAGAGATTACTTGCAAAATTTTGTGAAATTAGAAGACATGTCTTACAGTCTTCACTAGAACTAGTTGGGAATTATAGGGCCACAAGAAAATATTTTTCCTAAACAAAAATCTTTATTATTTGTACTCTGGCAATCGAGTAGGAACTACTCGTTAGTAAAAAGTAAAAACTCGAATTTTATATTGCCTCAATATGATAATTATTTAATTACATCATAGAAATAGTAATAGGTGAATAATACCGAATTATTTTAATATTACTTTATTAAATTAATTACTTTATAATTATATCGAAAAGCAATAGTTAGAAAACTAGCTTAGTTGGGGAACATGGAAATATTTTATGTTTAAGATGTATTATTTCAAGTCGACTCGAAGGTCATATAAATATACGACAAGAAGGCAGTAGTTTCAGTTGTTTTCCAAGTTTAATTTTGGGGTTCGGTTGTTGGATTTCGAAGTTGGCCAAAGTTGGCCTTGGATCGTTGTAAACGTCAAGTAATACTCGATCGAAATCACCAAGTATTGCCGCTTCCTTGGGGATGGGAAGAAATTTCCTTCGTCTGCCCAGTGTAAGTGGTAGAAGCTCGTTCGTATACTCCATAATCGCGTGTTCAAATCTTCCCAAGCGAAGGAGCATTGTACTCAGCTTTGGACACATAATGACCCAGGTGAGTAACGCTGTGGGGTCCTGCAGACTAAAGGATATTATAAAATCCAATCGTCGATGTGATTCGTTTTATAAAAACCTTTTCATGGTGTACTTTCCGGACACTTTACTTTAAGGAGATCCTATACATTAAAGTGAATATGTATACAAATTAACGAAATATAAATATAAGGCTTCAACAATTTATGCCAGAACTGCTTTGCATAATTTGTATGTTAACCAATCCTTATAAATAGACCGAAAACTATTAAAAGTAGCTTTTTACTTCATCAGACTTTGTCTATTTGAAAAATAAATAGGATTTTTAAATACCTAAATATCTTGGAACTATTATTTCCTAGATTAAAATTGATCAAAATATACTTGTCTTGCTAGTAGTAGGAATAGATAATCATCAGCAATCTCGCTGGTGTAAATATGTATCTGTATCTACTGTGTTTTTTACATAAGCAAGGGTTCTTACATGTTCTTACACGCCACCTATCGGTGGAACACACTTTACATTACTTTCTACACCTTTTCAATGCTACAAATGCACTGTAAAATTTTATTTGTATTGCAGATTATTGTCTAATTTTTCACCACCAAGGCCGTAAAGTTTATTTAGTAGTGGACAGTGGTTTCGACAGTGGTAGGACTTTTGGTGGCTTAGAAACCTCGTGATTTAAATTTAAATTAATCACTATACTCGGAAGAAATCTCTTGAGCCTCTTCGTCTGCTCTAGCTTTATCCTCTTTTGCCCCAAGCTCCTCCTCATCGCTATCTGAGTTTTCTATTGGGTTGGTCTTGAGGCGAGCGATCAGCTCTTTCGCGGGATTGAAAATCCCATTTGTCTGCTGGGAACAAATAATGCAGCGCTGTGATTTTTTGTACTGGGCCAAGGCGCACTTTTCACAGAAATAGTGCTTGCACCTGGAAGGAAAATTAGTATGTATTTGTCTAGTAAAACAAGCATAGGAATAATTTTCATGTTCATACTTTGTTACCACGGGATTGACGAAACTCTGCCGGCAGATGTGGCACTTGAAAGGCAGCGTTTCTTCATCAGAGTGAATCTCATACTTGCCATCATCGCCATCGGAGTCTACTTCACCGGTTCGCTGATTTTCGTGATCCATTTCCAGTTGCCAGCCCGCTTTGTAATCACTGCGATCGTGCAGGAACTTACAGCTGTCGCCAAAGCCGCAGTATCCTGTTTCCTTGTAGTCCTTGCAGATATCCGGCTGATAATCCCACCTGACAGTTGCTCTAAGATGGGCAGGAGCCCTAATTGGACCACTTCGTACCATTCCGGAGCTGGCATTCCCTGCCGCTGTATCCTGTTTTTTGTAGTACTGTGCATAGTTATTGAGTCCGCGGTAGATCTTATCGTCCGCCTTGCCCTCCAGCTCCTCGTTGATTTTCAAGGCTCGCGCATGGATTGCCTGCGCATCGCGATCCAATTCAGTGTCCACTTCGTTAATGGATGTGGCTCCCTGATCCTGGGGTCCACTGGGCAGCGCCTCGCGTTTGGATTTGTACGCAATGCCCAGTTTATCATCGTCGGAGGCGGAGGATGAGCCATCTTCACCGAATGCTCCCGCCTGTCTCTTCGCTTTGCTCAGTGTCTTGGTGCTCTGAAAGTTGGGATTCGTCCGCTTGCGACGGTTCTCGGCTCGCACTAAAGCACTCGCTTTGCCTTTGGTCTCTTCATCGCTGCTTTTTGCTGGAACATCAGAATTATTGCCCATTTTCTTTTTGGCGGTAAAGTCATGTTCTTACCAGATTCGTTGCTGCTGCTTTCCTTTTTGCGACGAATTCCTGCTCCCTTCTTGATGTTCCGCTTCTTGAAGCCAAAGGCCGAGGTGCTGGCCGCTTCTTCCGACATTCTTTGGCTTTTTATTAGGTGTACTTATCTTTTAAATCACGTTAACAACAAAAAACAATTGCAATTCCTACAACTGACGCTTCTTCTTCCCGGCTAGGGATGGTATCTGCGCAACTATCGTTACAGAGTTAAGTATTTTTTGTATTAAACGGGCACATTGCAATTAAATATATTCATTTAAAGCATATGTTTATTTTTAAGAATTGCAAAATACATCAGTGATTACTAAGGGTTGAATTTTATTTACATGAATTATAAAAAAATAAAATATTCATTTCTATATTAATCTTCAGCTTTATGATCATCGATAGCTCCCAATATGCTATGAAAGCTTTTCCATTTTTTTGGCGCTCTGCATGCGGTCACACTGTTTTTTATCGTTTGTTATTTATAGAACCTCAAAAACAAGTGCGTCTTGAAAATGAATTTATTCCATTAATTAACAAATTACTTACACCTTCTTACCCGCAGAACATGACCCTGGAACAGCTGTCCGCATCTAAGTGCTTTGAGGGCGAGCAGCGCGTGTATCGCCATCGCTCCGGCACCTTAAATTGCGACATGACCTTTGGCGTCTACCTGCCGCCGGCTGCTCTGGAGGGCAAACCGTGTCCGGTGCTGTTCTTCCTCAGCGGACTGACCTGCACCCACGAGAACTTCATCCAGAAGAGCGGCTTCCAGCAGCACGCCGCCCGTCACAACCTCATCGTCGTCAATCCGGACACTTCGCCCAGGGGCGTGGAAATCGCCGGCCAGGATGATGCCTACGACTTTGGGAGCGGGGCTGGATTCTATGTGGATGCCAAGAAGGAGCCATGGTCCAAGAACTACAACATGTACAGCTATGTGACCCAGGAGCTGGTGGATGTGGTCAATGCCAATCTGCCCGTGGTTCCCGGTAGGCGGGGTATCTTCGGCCACAGTATGGGCGGCCACGGGGCTCTGATCTGCGCCCTCAAGAACCCCGGACTGTACCAGTCGGTGTCCGCCTTCGCACCGATTGCCAATCCCACCGAGTGCCCGTGGGGTCAGAAGGCCTTTGCCGGCTATCTGGGTTCCAACCCAGATGACTGGGCTCAGTGGGATGCCACGCATCTCGTGTCGCAGTACGAGAGCACACCGCAGGAGCTCTTCATCGACCAAGGGGCAGCCGACAACTTCCTGGCTGGCAAGCAGCTGCTTCCGGAGAACCTGCTAGCGGCAGCCGATGGCAACGACCACATCCAGACCATCTTCAAGAAGCGCGAGGGATACGACCACAGCTACTTCTACATCGCCACCTTTGTCGCCGAGCACATCGCCTACCACGCCGCCCTGCTCACCGATTCCGCTTGATGTTATTCTGCCTGTACTTTATACTTGGTTTGTATTCCACCAAATCCGTAATTCAAATTGAAATCGCCAGTAAATAAAACAGTTTCCACGGAGCTTCTGAATTTATAATTACAGCCCAACACTCTTGACTTTGAACTTGCACTTTGAAAAATAATGTAATGCTAATTAATAATTTTTTGATTCATTTGTATTTTGTTATTTAGGGTTTTAAGTTCTGCTTCTGATTTTTGCAGTTTCCGTTCACTAACTAATTCGGAATAATAGGTATTCCCAGTTCGTCGAATTTCTGAGGACTTCTGCAACGCGGACTTGTGGTTAGGGAAAAGCTCGCAACGTAGTAAAAGCTCCGGCTGCTGGTCCACGGCATGCTGGGAACTTTCCGCATCCTGGCATCCTGCGAGGGATTCATTCATCAGTAGAACAAACGCCGTCTGATGGAGTAGGTGCGCTAGTGACACAGAGTGAACCGGACCGAACGGATGCTCCAAAAGGCGACATTCCCGTCTTGTTTGGCGCCATATTTACTAGGACCAATCGGAGTCGGCAGCTCTGCATTTGCGTGACTGCGTGTGTGCGCGAGATAGTCCTGTTTTTGGACCCGATTGTTTGTGTAACTTCGCGCGCTTTTGTGTCTTATATACCAACGGGTCGGAAAATTGGGTACCAAAAAAAGGGATTTGAAAAGGCGTGAGATTTGCGGCCAGCTGCTGGACGACTGCCAGCGCACTGAAATCTTAATTAGCCATTTAATGGCAGTTGGCACACAACAAAGCCCGATGGTAAGCCCTCAGCCATATGGCCCATGTAAATCAATTTCAAACCGAGTTCAAGTCTGGGCAGTCCGTCAGCGAGTCAGTCAGTCAGGTGTGGTATTGGAACCACCTTCCCTGATTTTTATGAGCAACTGTACGACATGTTTTATGGCCGCCGTTTTACTGCACGCTGGCACTTGTACGCTTCCATCAGCACTCCATTTTTCACAGTTCAGAGTCAAGTTCACGCTCGGTATCCCTTCACCATCCATCAAGTTTGTCGATTACTCTGCGGGTGGTGGACTTCAAACTTATTTAAAGTATTTAAGGCTTGTATTCGCTGGCCATCATTTGCATATTATGATTTAGCTATTGAATTTTATGGTTTTATTATTGAAAGAAACTTTGGAAAACTGCTTTGGGCTCTTCTTAGACTTAGAATTGTTATAGGCATTAGAAATTTTCCAGAATTAAGCTAAAAGAAAAACAATCTTGGTTTCTCATTACCAGAGCTTCATTTAAATTTCGAACAATTCGTTGAACGTTGGGATTGTGGGGATTCAGTGACAGAAAGCCATGAACTTGATCTTTCAAAAGAGGTTGCAAAATGCTTTTGGCAGCTACGAAAACGTTCCTTTCTTGACTGTCAAGCAAGCAGAGATTACAAAGAATTTTCCACTTTATTTTGGTTTGGCCAACGTTGAACTGTTCAAGCAAAGAAAATCTTGTTTTTGGTAAAACATTCTTAGGCTAAGATGTAGAGACAAAGGCTTAAGATAGACACACTTTATATAAATGAATGTGTTATATCAAGATATGTTGTATATCAAGATAAAACCAAATGATTCAATTTCCCTTGAATTGGCATTAAGGAACTATATTACACATTTGAAATGAATACTAAAGTATAAACTCTGTAAAGTCTATCACCGGGATGACCAAATTGCTTTATTTGATGGCAATTCATAAATTGAATGTGAAATAATTATTCAACACATTTTTGACACGTTTTTTAATTGGCTTTTGGAGGCAAAACGAAATAGAACCCACAAAAATTCGCTGCATATCAGAAAAGCATTTACGTGACCAGCCTTGAATTTTCAATTAGTATTGACAAAACCATTTTTATTTTTATCGCTCTCTTTATCATTTTCCCAATATGTCAGTCAGTTTATGCCAAAAGATTAATTTTCTATTTCGGAATTTAAAGTTGCGTTTAATAACAGATATTAGTTAAGTTTGCGACAACGGGTAATAAAACATCGTTGAAGTTGAATTCAAAATATAAACTTCAGAAAACTTCGGAACCTCAAACAGCATTTAACTATTAAACGCTTTTTACTTAAATCTTGTATAAGCATCGCCGACGCCCATTCAAAGCGGACCGCCATATAAAGTGCAATAATTCCATTTTTATAGTGAAAAAGCATGTTTTATTTTTCCATTATTCAAGGAAAAACAGCAGCAAAGCCGGCAAAGACATTATAAGCGTCGATTTCTCTTGAATCCCGTGCCACTGGAAAAGGTGAACCAAAGCACGTAAAGCTGGGGAGTTTTTCTCCCTACACATGTGTAGTTCCTAACATGTTAGTCGAGAAGTTTTCCCCTGCCTAATTACTGGTAAGCCACATCAACAGCCATGTAAAATCCCCGAAGGATCGAAATATTGTGTACTGAGGTGGCCAAATACAGTGGGTAAATACCAGTGTTTACCTGTGCAGTTCAAGGGGAAAACAGATTTGTTTAGCAAGACGTTAAAAGAGAAATTCCAATAAACTGAACGTAAAATCAATAAAAGCCAATATAAGAAAAGCGAGGGGAAGAACGTTGTCATTTGTTTGCGAAACTGCAACTTCGGACGAATACGATTTATCTATTTGAGCAAAAGTATTCGCCTATTTGTCAAAGTTGGTCGTCTAGTGAAATAGGTATTTTCGCCTTAAGTCTCGACTAAATTGAAGTACAATTGCTGATTGCCTTTAAACAAAAGTGTACTCAATGTCTTATTGAACATATGTACTTCAACTAAAGAGTATAAGGACGCCAACCTGAAAGTATTTATAGCCTTTTTCCAATTAACTGGCATCGGCACAATATAAATAAGAGTCGCTCTAAAATAAAGCATCCATTAGCACATCAATTAACTTTATGTACATATTGAAGCAGGAAAACCACTCACACAGCACGTGCGTTCTAGTGTGGACTTTATTCTAATGTTTATCACGCATATGCACTCTTGATACATATTATTAAATTCCGTTCCTGCTGGGCGTCAAATGTTACTGTCCCGACCTAATAGGCGGATTAGATTTACAAACAAATACTTAGGGCCTTAATGAATAATTTATGTGGTCACTATTTTCCACAAATGAGTTTTATCTCACATATGAGAAGGTAATGGACAAGCTTTTGCATTTCAATTAGAATCTGTTATCCAACCTTTTATAGTTTTGAGAGCTGATATAAGCTTCATATAGCTCTTTAAAATTCTCATTAATTTTAATTATTTTAGTAACCACTCACACCATAAAATCTTATTTTGGCACAAGAAATATTATACAAATTTATTTCTTCTTTTGTGCATATATTTGTTTAATTTCTAAGCAGCCCTAACTTTTAAAAGTCCATCCCAGAACCCACACACTGCGCAAATGGGGTTGCAGTACTCCATGTGATAAGAGAAAATGGAGAAATCGAATCGGTTTTCCATTGACACAGGATTGGGTATGGGTGTTTCTGACCTGACTGCCAATTAGGCCAATCATGAGGAATCACTTGCGATGACAAACGCCCGGGCCACGTGCATACGAACAAATTGATGTATTGTTTTGGGGACGCCGAGTGGCCCATCAGGAGCCATCAAAGGACGCTCGGCAAGAGCTGGGTGAGAATAGGCTCCATGGTCGGTCGGGAGTTCGGTGCAGGGCACGCAAATTCAACGGAAAGCGTACGCCATCCAAATAATTTAGACAATGGCACTCGTGCGCACACGCCATGCCCAGGAAACAGGATGAGGCGCACTCCACGCACACACACTCAACCAATGCGTCGAAAACCGTCAACACACACACGCTTACGCCGCCATAAAGCAACACAGATACGCCAGCAAGGGCACTCACTCACACACACACACGCAGCAGACAAAACCTGAATGAATGCAGAGAAACAGAGGCGACAATTTTAGTGCTATTTTCGGTCATCACTTGGCTCTACAGCGGGTCAGAGGCCAGGAGCGGAACCTATTGGGACCCGAGCTGGAAGCCATCACTCCGGCAGCCTCCGAGTTCCCATCTCCGTTCCCCAATCTCCGCTGCCCCATTCCCCATTCCCCGCGCCGCCAGTCGCACTCCTATTATTTCTTATGCGCTGGTGTGTATCTGCCGTCCAACATATGTTCTCACTTAGACTGCGGTCTCCTTCCTTTGGCTTGGGTTCCAGCAGCTGCAACTACACTTCACGAAAAGGAGACTTTGAACAGAGGGAAACGAAAATAATGAAAATACTGAAAATAAGACCTGAAAAGATATAGTTTAAATTCACACCCGATAACTCTTTAAATACAAGATTTATTTCTCTTTCTTTACGATTAAGTCACTATTTTAATTACTTCAGTGTTTTTAGTTGATGTCGACATCTCTGTTTGCTGTATTATTTCATTTAACTCACATATATATGCCATAGCATACCAGATAATCTTGGCTGTTAGGCGTTTTGTTTCCGAGTGTGGAACAACAAAGCACACAAACAGCAGAGTGGAAAAACTTCTCTTATTATTTGCTTGCCACCTTTCGGAAAACCGGAACCAGCATCCCCGTCTTTGGGAGCCGCAAGAGGAATGGCTTTTTGAAGGTGTAATTGAGTTTTCACGCAGTACGTGCAGGAAATTCTTAAAACTGATCCAGTGAAAACTTTCCGTACTAATCAAATTTGTTGCGCCAAAAAAAGCACCAAAGGGATGCGTCGTTTAATTTGAATAACTTTACCGAACCAACATATTGTTGAGCGTAGAGTCGATAAATCGCATTACGGCAGGGAAATTGGCCAACAGGAAAGTTGGCCAGCCTCAAGTGCGCCTCGATTGGCGTGGATCTAGTAGTTCCAGACATAAATAGATTACTCCTAAGTGAGTGATGAGATCTGCTACACAGATTAGCTGCCTCTGGAGCTTGGACTGCCTTCAAACTCATTAAGCTATTTAGCCAGACGGCGGAACTTGCCCTGATTGATGATGTTTTATGGCATAAGTTGGTAGTTGAAAGCGAAAAGTTTCAGATGGGGTTGCACCATTTTAACTAACAAAGTAAATGGTATTAAGCTGTATTATTTGGGTTAGTTAGGCATTTCCTATTTTAAGCTGCACATTTTTGAGGAAAATTTCGGTTTGTTTCGGTAAATTTCCAAAATAAATTGTTTCGCATCAAACTATCCGCTAACGTAGTGCTGCCACTTGATTCCGACAGCTCTAGCTAAGTTTTTAATTAAGTTATTGCCCCACTTTGCGTACCAGGAACAAAGCAAATCCAATTTGCACTAAGCCCCGATTTAAACTCGAAATTTATCGTTAGCAAATCGCAGAGCTCATTTGGCCCGCCCGTTGCGCCGCGGTGCTGGTTCCATTGAAACCCCCAAGGCGCAGTAAATGGGGCGCACCAACTGGAGAAATGCATCAGGCATGAACCGCACAGCCCCCCACCTGCAGGCCACGTGATCACTTGGCATGCAATTTCCAAATTGCTTTCTCTAAGCTGGGGAAACAATTTATGTGTGTAAATTGGCCCGCCCACTGGCACACAATCCCACATGCTCAAGCACATTCACCTTTGGCAGCCAAAGCTTCTTACACTAATTACACAAATTGAACACAATTTATTGTTGCCATGGGGGCACAAAACTCGATGGTTACTCCTGCCGTTGCCGTTGGCGACACGCTTCAAGTGGCAGCAATTTGGTTAATATTAAATAAGTACTTGCATATTAATTACTTGCATAATTACACGGCCAGACGACGCGAGCCCTCCTGTTAGGGTGTTTGCTGTAATTAAAACACGCTGACATTGCGTATACGTAACGTGACTGGCGGCTAGCTGGCGTGTTCTCAAAAGCTAATTCTATTAAAGGCAAACAGGGCTAGACAGTTTTTTGCAATTTTTGATGGCCCTCTAAAGCTAAATATCACGTATACGTAACGTTGTCCATGAATCCGCAAATGGGGCTGGAAATGTACTTCTAAAACACCTGCTATCTGAGTTCCTTCCTCTAAGTTATATTTTCTTCTTTTTTACACAACTTCCTTATAATTCTAATGTGTTTTACTTAACTTTACTTCAAGGTGTTCTTAAGCGCTTCCTTTCGAGAAGCTTGAGAGTAGCTTTTTGTAGTCCTGGAAACAATAATAAACGCTCGTGAGAATTCTTGGCCAATTCCAGAACACCATGACTTTGAGTGCCTGAGGCATACGTTGTGTCCTTGCATGTGGGATTTCTGATTTATGTTTCGTAGCCAAGTTCATTATGCTTCGGACAGAGTCATTAACAATTTGCCCGTTTTGATTTTCCCAAATTTTATTTGCATTCCCCTCCGCCGCTCTCCGCCAGCAGCAGCATTTGCAGCAGGAACCGTAGCCCATCCAACGCCGATCAGCTTGAGTGTTTTATGGTCCCGCAGTGGCAGCCAAAGCCCTAACATACAACATACAACTAAAAGCAGCAGGAAGTATTAGCACGCGCCAAGGAAACAAAGCAATCTACAAAGATGGCCGGCGGCGGCAGGACAGCCGGCAAATACGGATATTCGGACAACAATTATTACAGTGGTGAGTAGATAAGCATGATGTTCGATCCAGTCAAGGCTTTGTGCCGCTCATATTTGGGAATAAGATTGCACAGATTACAGATTACAGTATGATAACCATCCCACTGTTACCTTACTCCGCATCCCATGGAATATGTTTACTATGATTACAAATCATTTCTTTTCATTTGCCATTCTGTATATCGCATTAATAATAATTATTATCATTATTTGTTGTTTCTCAATAATTCATGAAATACATTCACCTGCCACACAGTAGCGAAACGAACTCGAATAAATGACGATGCTGTACCGAATTATGTTTAACGAAATATTATTGGTGTATGAATAAATCACGAGTCCATTGTTATGCGCCCCCTAACCACTGTACATCACTGAACCCCCGGCACTTTGGGGTGGTGAATGGGCGGTTCGTTCTGCGCCCTGTCGCCCATTTGGCGGGCTTATGTCGGCCCCGATGGCGTCGTCCTGGCGTCCTGGCGTCCTGCTGATGAAGTCCTGCCGCATGCCTCACCGTAATCAGTGTTGAAAAGCGTGTTTTTATTCGAGTCTTGATTACGCATGCATGTATATTCAGCTTGTCAGTGTTTTATTACATTTATTTCGCTGCGTTTCTTACCCACATGAGCACTCGCACAGGCATTTTTCTCGGAAGTGTACACTTTTTTTGATTGTGTCGGCTGGAGATTTGTGCGCTACAGATACTCGTGTGTTCGGGTGCTCAGCATATCATTCACGCATGAAAGCAATAAAACTCAGATGCTCGGCTGGATTATGTGCCACCAAACCATACCTGCGAATGTGAATGAGTTCAGGTGAAAGTCCAGCCGCAGGAACTTATTGCTGTGTTTGCATACAAATTTGGTTTTCCCTTGTTCCAAATTGTTTGCTAAGTGAGTTTGAACGCCCACCCGTGGGCTACATTTCCGCCCTTCCCAAAATGCTATGCCACGTTTAGACATTGAGAAGGCTTCTGTCGGCTTTATTTATTGGCCATCAAACGAAATACTGAGTAAGCTTGGACTGTGAAATGTGCAGACACCTAAAGCTGAAACGCACAAATTATTCAAGGTCAGTTTACAAGAAATGGGGGTACCAACATTTAGCAAAGCACGGCATACAACTCAACAAAATTGCTGCCAAAAGAAAGATCCCGTTCTTTTGACTTCCAAGGCCTTTTGATTTGACAGAAATATTATTGGCGATACCAGAAATTTTTGCCTATAAACAAGGATCTGTAAAAAAGCATTTGAAAAAGGTTTGACCAAATTCCGCATCTTGGATCTAAACTCACTTTGCAGACACTTTAAATTTGGATCTAGTTAGCCCACTTGGGGAAATCAGACGTCCCCGGATAGATCAGTAAGGTCCACACGGTTCCGGTGAACAGCAGACACAGAAAGGCAGCACATGTGGGCAGAAGCCCTGCGATGGCCATGTACTTTGTCTTCAAGCCCGTGAAGCCGGATATAATTGCATTAGGAGGAGTGCTTACGGGCAAATGGAAGGCCAAGCTGCAGGCCAGGGCAGCGGGAAGAGTCAATTTCAAGGGATGCACTTTGATGGCCAGGGCCTAATGGATACATTTACACGCGTGTTGAAAATATTTGAGTAGTGCCGCCGGGCTCAACTTACCATTTCCGAGAAGATCGGGATCAGAATATTGCAGATGGCCACGTTGGAAGCGAATGCAGTGCAGAAAAGGGAGAGTATAATGCACAGGGAAATAACGAAAACGGAGTGCATTTTACCAGCGAAAGCCAAGGACTCGCCCAGCATTTTGGCCATTCCGCTGACCCTGCTGCCCTCGGCCAAAGCGAATCCTCCTCCTGACAAGGATGATCAGTTTAGATGGATTGAGAAACTATTTCAATACCAAGAGCGAGACACTTACCCAACAGAAAGGCCAGGCCAAATGGCGTGTACTTTTGGCAGTAGACCCACGACAGACTGGCATCCAACACTTGTCCTGGGAAAGGAGCCTTTCCGCAGCAGTACCTGAAGAAGGTATACTGTGTGGGCAGGGCGAAGAGCAGAATCGTCGCGAAGAATACTGGCGGGCCACTGCCTATGGCTCTGGAAGGGAATAGTTTAACAGGGAATACAGAGATCTTTGGGAAAACGAACTTGGCATTCAGAAAGTCAGCCCATCCCGGAAAGAAGCCCGGCTTACGGGTGAACAGTAGGAAAATCATCAGCACGAAGAGCAGGCCCACTTGAATCTCATGGCACGTCATGGGTCCCAAATCAGCCTTGCGCTGCTTGATCACGCCCTGGACAACGTCCTTGCTCTCGGTGCCCTTCCTGACCTCCTGACCTATCTGGCTGTTCGGCCGGAAGAGACCCATGTGGGTGATTTGCAGCGCGAGGTACGTGAGAAAGACGAGCACCACCACTACAAACGGAATGGAGTAGGCCATGAAGATGGGGAAGTCAATCTTCTCCTCGGAGTTGGGAAATCGTCTATGGGTGTTATCAGCTGCATACTATCAAAATGAGCGGCACACTCAACCTATCGCCCTTACGTATCGTATAAGCCCTTGAAAGTCAGATTGGTGCCAGTTCCAATCAAGGTGCCACAGCCACCGATGGACGAGGAATACGCGATGCCGAAATAGAAGGCCATCGAGATGGTCGACGGATGCGGGGGGCTGCAAGTAAATTGCCGTGTTTGTAATGAAATGCCCTACTTGCAGCAGTTCTTCACATACTCGCCTGCCTCCACCGGCTCCTCCTCCTGCGTCTTGTAAATGGCAAAAATGTTTTGCTGAAAGTAATAGTTTACATGAGTTCTTTACACTATTGAATTAGGCGTTGTGGGTTGTGCGCTAGAGGGGGCATAAAGATAGCAACAAGTGGTTATGACCGATACTAATGCCAACTTTACAGTCTATCCGGCCGAGGAACCTATGGCCCACATGCCAAAAAAAGGATCCTTGCACGGTTAGTAGGAATCTACTCACAGCTTCCATTTCATTGAGTACTGCTTTCACTATGGGACACATCATGGCAGTGGCAGCTGAGTTTGAGATCCACAGCGATATGAAGCAAGTCACCATGACCAATCCGAAGTGCAAGCTGGTTGAAGAGATCTGGCTTAGATCTTAAATAGGTTTTCGAAAGAGCCTTACCGCCTCGGACTGCAGCCCACTACTAGAATAGTGGTGAGTGCGATGCGCTGATGGAGATTGCTGTATTCTATGGCCAGGGCAATAAGCAGTCCTCCGAGGAACATGACCACGGTGTCACTGAAGTAAAAGCTGCATACCTGTTCCGAAGTCTTTGTAAAGTAATGTTCAAAATTGAACATTAACATAATAAAATTAATACTACCCTTGCAAACTCAATAACGTACCAAAATACCGGACAGTGGCAGAAAAAAAACTGGAAACAGAGCCGTCAAATATAGAGGAATGGCTTCCGTTATCCAGAAAAGCGCCATATTGACCACCAGATACATGCACACATATGCCTGCGGGTGGGGGTAACAAATTATGCACTCGGGGATGGGGCCTGCTTAACTTGCCAGATTATTCTCCAGGATCCCGTATATCAGAACCGGAAGTGTGATGAGAGGAATTATGACGGTGGACTTGCCCCGCCAATGGAAGCCGCAACATCTCTTTACGGCCTGACCGCCTCCAATTTTGTCGTCAGCACTGCAGACGAGGTCTAAAGTAGTTGGGTCCTTTAAGATAGACTTATAAAAGACTTACTCTCCCATTTTGCTTGGCTTCTAATACGAGTGTAAAGAATGTATGGCTTTAAAAAAAAGAACCAATATATCATGGCCAACTCTCGGCTTAGAATAAAGTTCGAAATTAATAAAATTAATCAAATCGGTGGCACGCATGAATACTAATAAACTAACTGGTCAATTTGGATGTAGCCAATATCCTGATCCGTCAAAAATGCATGAGTAGGTCGCAATATAGGAAATTTGGCCGCGTTTTCTGACTAAAATTATTAACTACATAACATAATTTATAAAAAATTCATAGCTATTGAAAGCCCTATACCAAGAACAGGGTGTCTGTACAGAACCATCATTATATTTTTGTTTTATTCCTAATTTCCATTGCCCAATCTGGAAAGCTTCTTGTTCCCGGAAAAATTACAAATCCCCATGTGTTGGTGTTCAGTAAATTCACGAGCAGCCCGATAATGGTAGGCAAAATGCCGCAACACGCCTAGAAAATGAATATTTTAAAGTGGGAATTTGTACTTCCTGAAGCTTTTACTTACAAAGTATTTGGTCTTAATATGTGCATACTGGGTAACAATTGCATTCGGGGGCGTGCTCACGGGTAGAAAGTAGACCATGCTAATTGCTAAGCAAGATGGCAGAGTTAAAATCAAAGGATGGATTTCCAACGCAATGGCCTTCATGCAAAAAGAAACAAATAAGTACTATACGAGTGTACAAAGGTTTAGGCCTCTCACCATTTCGCATAAAACTGGTAGAACAATGTTCGCCACAACAACGTTGGCGTTGAAAGTCGAGAAAAACGTGGACAACACAAGCGTTATCAACTGCAACACAACACTCGGCAATCCTTTGAGGACCTGCATGGCCTTGGTGATCATTATATTAAGCCCGCTTTCGCGGCTGGCCTCGGCCAAGGCAAAGCCACCACCTGCAAGTAGACCAAGGGAGCCCGCTGTAGTCGAGTGTCGCGACTATCGGATACCCGTGCTGCGCGGGAAGCAGATGGAGATAGGATTGCCGCACGGTTACCGATTGATTGTTACTGATTGTCACGAACCACTTTTGGCATGTGGATGAATGCTGATAGGCAAAACATATAGTGGATGTGTGTTAGTTTGTTAGATTGGGGGGGCAAGCTAGAGCTCTAGAATCTGCAAGCTTAATCTGGATATTTTATAGTTCCCCAGATCAAATATAATCAAGAATATATATACTCTCGTCCACCTGTTACATCATTTTCTACGAATCTAGTATAGGCTTTTACTTACTCGGGTATATATTTCTAGTGTGAGGGCGTGGACCCAAGAAACCTACCCAGAAGAAACGGTAGGCCCCAGGAAATATTAGTAAAGACATATTGCCAAGATATTACCGCATCTATCGCCTGGGCAGTAAACGGAGCTGTAATGCGCGGTGCTATTTAAGACTGTCTTTACTGGAGTTATCATGAAACCCACCTTTACCGCAGCAGTACTTGAAGAACGTATATTGGGTGGGCAAGGCAAACATCAGTAGCACAACAAATAACAGTCCAACCGAACTTCCCACTGGCCTAAAATGGAAGTGCATTAATATAATGAATATAATATAATATAATATATAATATATTAATATAGTAGGTCACATTTCATTGGGACCTATATAACTGGGAACATACTTTCTGTCAATAAGAGTCATCCAACCCGGAAAGAATCCCGGTTTGCGGGTAATTAGAAGCACTATCATTAAACCAAAGGCGATGGACATTTGAATTTCATGGCAGCTCATTGGGCCCAAATCAATATGGCGTTGGCGCAAAACCTCCTCCATTACTTTCCTGTTTTTGTTGGCCTCCGAAATGGCTTGTCCGGTCTTACTTTTTGGTCGAAAGAGTCCCATCTGAGTTACGAGCAAGGAAATAATAACCAGCGTTATGTTTAAACACACCATCAGGGGGATCGAGTAGAACATGAAATTGGCAAATGAAATTTCCTCCGTGGACGTGGGAAACCGGCTGCCGAAAGATATTATTTAAACTTGGTATTCAGCTTTCCAAACCCGATTTTATTACTCTGCGTATATGCCTACTAAGACCAGATTCGTTCCTGTACCAATATGCGTTCCCAGTCCCCCGATTGTGGAGGCGTAGGCGATGCCAGCGTAGAAGGCTATGGTTATCTTGGACGGATGTGGTGGTCTGCACAAGATTAAAATTAAGGATTTCGCAGTAAGAGCATTATGTATACTCACTCTCCCTCCTCAACTGGTTCTTCTTCTTGCGTCATATAAACGGGAACCATGTTGTTCTTCGAATTAGTGGTACAAGGTCAAAATAGTTATATAAATTATTTTCTAACAACTCACGGTATTCAACTCTGTGATCAGCGCCTTAACAATGGGACACATCATAGCCGTTCCGGCAGAATTGGATATCCACAATCCCATAAACACGCTAACAACCATAATGCCTACAAACAAACTGAAAGACTTATCGCATAAAGTAAATATCTAGCATGTGCACTATATAATTAATTCTGTAGGAATTGCCAAATAGACTAGCAAGAGTTGACCGCGTTCCTTGACTATCAGATACCCTATTATCTTTTGAAATAACCATGGAACTTGACGTTTTTGGCATGCCCAAAATATTTTTGGCATATCGGTGCAAATTAGCAAGACAAATATGTAAATATACATATAAATCTATAAACATACAAGTACATATGTAACATACTTGGATAAATATAGCATTCCCTTCAATTAAAAGCTTTAGATCTTATAGCATGACTGACTGAAATAGGCTTACCGTCTAGGACTTCCACCGACAATCCGAATGACTGTCAGGGCGATTCTCGTGTGCAGATTGCAGTACTCGATTCCCAAGGCCACAATAAGTCCACCTAGGAACACCACTATGGTTTCGGTGAAGAACAGTTGGCACACCCTTTCGGAATTCTAAAAAAACAGAGTTTGTTTGTTTGAATTGCGGTTTCTTTCCTGAGTTTGAGTTCTGCTCCCGGGACATTTTTTAACTCACCACCAGACCAAGGAGTGGACAAAAGGCAAGGGGCAACAATGCTGTCAAGTATATGGGTAGGGCTTCGGTAATCCACAGCAGGGCCATGGTGACAATGAGCCACAAGCACTTGTACTCCTAAAACATCGCTTTGATCAAGTTTTGATATCTAAAGGAGGTAACGCGTACTTACGGCCCTGTCGTTCATGAATGCATATATCAGAATCGGTAATGTGAGGGAAGGTATAATTACTGTGAGATTCCCTCGCCAGTGAAACTTGCAACAGCGTCCCAATAAGAATTTCCTAGTGAATTCAATACATAATTCAATACTACTTTCGAAAACAAGTGCGAAACCCACCGTTTTTCCTCTGGATCTGCCATCTTCCCAGGTTACAGGCCCCAATTGGTTTAATGTATATATATATGAGTTTAATACAAAATAATACTTAATAATAAATTACTGGATCTAAGGGGAACGGATTGCTGGGGTTTTCAGCAGTATTTAGGAAATCTTGGGGGTCGAAAACACCCAGTGTCATTTCAGAAGGGACCATTTAATCTGGACCCACTTTGATGTCATCTAATTGATAATTTCCCGACACACTTGTGCGCCCTGGGAAGGTCAAATCAGCTTTCCGAAGCCTGCACTGAACGAAATGAATGAACAAAAAAAGAACTCATATTGAGGAATGTTCGATATGTATTATTTTCATTGCAATTGTATCGGAAAAACACAACTGCTTTGAGCGGTTTGTGAAAGTCGGTTAAAAATAATTGAGTATGCACGATCTTTGAAGCTTATCTTAATTGGTTATTCAAAAATAAAAGTCAGCCACCGATTTTTATGGTATTAAGTATATATTACTTCCTGCTACAATCTGGCCCAAATGAAATTCCTCAATGTTGGCAAATCCTTGTGGCCACAAACAATTTCGGAAGATGTCAGACACAGGACACACATACTTGGCGAAGGATATTACATAAGGCCAGCTGAATGTGCGACCCCAACTCCTCCATGCTTTTATGTTTTTGTCCTCTGTCTATTCACATAATCTGTCAAATGACTTTATTGACTGTATTTTTGTGCGGAAAGAGAACAATAAATGAAATTTAATACATATCGGCGGGCAGGACATGTGTCCTTGGGTGGATTCCCGAATATAGTTAGGCTCATCCGCTCGTGAACCTTAATAATTTACGCTCAGTTTAGCCCGGTTTTTGCCCATGGGTTCTCCAAAATCCATTTCAGTTTTCAATTTGAGCGGGAAGTGGGTGCCTTGCATTCGTTTTGCATATTTCACGCTATCATAAGTTTCATTTTGACAGCCCGAACTTTGTCAGACCGGATAGGCATTTCTGTGAATTATTATTTGACATGGCAAACTTTTCTGTTCTGTGCGCTTTTGATGTTTTAAGCAACCGCAAATTCGTGGTCTTGGAAAAGAGCAAACCCCAAGAAGTGGGGTAGAAGACTTTGACCGCACTTGAAGGCCATTGAAAAGTTTGCAAAACAACTAAAGTGGCTAATGATACAATTGTTGGCTGCAAGTTGTTGCTAATTGGTATATTATAGCACTAAAACTCCGGAAAATGGCTCTGGGACTTGAATCCTACTTGATCACAACTATTTCCATTAGCAGAACATATTATAGTTCAGAACATTAGGACCAACATTGAAATATGTTCTGCACAATCCATTCTTGACAATGTGCTACATTTTGTGTGTGCTGCTTTAAAGCATTTTGCCTGGAGGTCTACTTTTCAAATAGGTGCTCTAAACCAATGGAAAGTTCAACTCCCACTGAAAATGCATGCTGCAAGAGAGGAAAAATATTGGAAAAACATTAACAATGAAGTGGTGAAATATTTAGGTTGGTCAGGATAAATCAAAACACCTAAGTGCCTTATGCTTATATGTTGGCAAATATAAATCACCCATAAACCTTATTTTCTCTCCTGCTGTTTTGCACAATATTTTGTGCATCCATTGTGTTTTATGGCCAGCTTGGCGGCAGGTGAGCCATTTGGCCAGCAATGAGCAATCCAAATGATTGCCTATTTATCCGAGTAAGGCTGACTGACCCTGAACTGTGAACCACGAGGGACACTCAACGCCTTGATGCCGACAATCAAGTACATTAACCGCACAAACCCTCGGATGTTAGGCCGTGCATATGTACTATACTTTGTATACATAATGTACGGAACATGAGGCTTATGTGGTGCCTTAGCTTAGGGCCATGGGCCATTGGGCTTTGAGCCCTCGTAATGCGAGCCCTCTAATTAACAAATCTCTGGCGGCGTCGGCTCGACTGCCAGTGAACAAGATTTGAATCTGTTTAATGTGTGTCGAGTGAATGCTCGACATCGATTATGTGTTAAATTACCCATAAAACAAACAGCTGGCCCAAATGGAGCCGAACAATGCGAGGCTATTTGCACAATTTGCTCTGGTTACGCCAAATTGAAATGCTGCCCACCGCTTTTTAAATTAATGCCTTATAATCCCAAATGCGCCTCTCGCTTATAAATTAAATCAAACCTCCAAAGCTAATGACATCGCAAATTATCTAGCCGCAATGCGAGCTTTTACACAAATAATTCGAGAATTCAGATTTAATTTGGCGCGCTTGAAATGTATATGTTAGCAATTGCTGTGCGGATACGACTTCATATACCCTTTACACCCATAATATAGGAAATATATTGTAATGGGAACCATCTGCCATCTATTGAATAAATGTAAATACCTTTGCATTTTGTTTTTGTCAAACCTAGAAACAGTTTCAACTTAAACGTAAATCAAGCTTAAAACGTAATCCTTGAAATATTTGTTCTGTAGCTTACGCCAATAATTGCGTTAATAACCCAATTCATATATAGCGAAATGTGAAAAAGTGAACATCTGCGCATGTATGCGAGTTGCAATACCAATTTTCATATTATTTTTGTTTATTGCGAGTTTTTATAGCCGCCTTGTGTGTGCGTGGGTTTTATCCAGATTGCTTGTGGCATATGGCCATCGTTTATTCTTTACAGCACTGCATTTGTCATGGTCCGCATTTCCCTTTGTTTGAATACGCATGGACTAAGTCCTTAAAAACCGAACTGGGGATTGGTGAGCCACTGGCTCACCTTTTTCGCCGAAAAACACCTCACCCACCTGGAAAAACTGGAAAAATTGCCTGTAATTTGTCAGCGAGGCCTCTAACTCGTGTTTCCTTTGCTTATCCTTGCCTTTTTGCAGGTCACTCGTACAAGAGCATCAACGATGAGATTATACTGGTCAGCATCATCATGGGCATCACCATACTGGTCCTCATCACCATCGCCCTGTGCTACATTGCGTATGAGAAGTGCCAGAAGAAGCGGGAGTACTATATCAACGCCTAGAGGGTGCTCCGGTGTCCCCACCGGAATTTGAGACCCCAGAATGGGGCTCCTTTCATCCTCTGTCTTTGTTATCCTCTGCAGTGGGAGGCAGTGCAAGGCCAAATGTCAACACGGTCTGCGACAATGTTGACGTTGACGATTTAGTTGGCCAACAAAAATAACCCAGAGAGGCTGCATCCAACCGCCGGCCTGCGTTTTCTTCCAGCCCCAACCCAACTTCCAGCCCAAACAACCAGCAGACACGTACCCAAATCGGAAACCAGTGGCATTTTTGTGCTGCTTAAACGTTCCGCCATCTCCGTTGGCTTGGCCACAGTTGCAGTTTCTCAAGTGCCGGGAAACATGGCTCCATTGTTCGGATTGTTCGCATTGTTTGCCCACTGTGCACAGTGGGTGCCACCACTCGCCACTTGGCACTTGACATTTGACCAGCCAATTAGGCGTTTTTTGCCATTTTGTGCTTTCTTCGTTGCAGTCTCGTTAGCAAAACATAGTCAACACAAGTATAATGCTTTCTCTGCTACAAAGCACTTTTTAAATTTTGCTGCTGCAGACTATTCAAGACTTTCATAAACTCGAGTTTTTATGCCGCACCCAGGCATTTCAATTTAAAATTCACTCGAATTCCAACATGCAGCCAACTCTTGTTTGTCAAACCGAGCAGGAATAACAAAAAACTCCCATCCCAACCGAAACCGAAACCTCACACCACGGAATAATGGCAGCGGAAGATATATAAGCGATACTTTTGCAGTGTGCTCCGTCGATATGGTTGCCCCGAGCTGAATGCTGCAAACATTGTGCATATGTGCACTGAAAAAAAAGGGCACTGTAAACGACAGTTCACACGGGGCGTAAATTTACATATACAAAAGCTTTATTTAACAGGCTTCAACCAAAGCAACCAATATTGAGGATGAATAAACCAAAGACAACACAGCCCTGCTGGCAGGATAACCAATGAAGTTTGATCCATTTCCAAGAAGAAATGTAATATTAAAAATAATACAAAAACAGGAAAGCCCTAAAAATAAGTATACCAATATGGATTTTGATTTATGCATGAAATTTGATTAATACTTCATTTAAATCTGTTTTTTTTATAGCTTTTTAGATTATTTCAAAATTATTTTCATTCGCATTGATATTAATAGTAGTTTTTAACTTTTGGCAGACTGTTTTCGGTGTGCTCGTACACACATTCCAATTTCGAGTATTGACAGCACGGGAGCATTTAACCATCCAATGGAAAGGGATAAGACCCACCAGCTAGTGGGTGACTTTTCTTATATCCCTTTTTGGTGGCCTTCTTCCTTGATGCTCTGTGGGATCCGCTTTTTTTGGATTGGGGTTCAAGACCGTGGCTCGAGGCTGTAATAATAAAAACAGTAGCGGAAACTGGGTGCAGTGCACACGAACAAAGCGTTAAGGAACAATAAGGGAAATCGCCCAGCGATTCCGTGGTAGCAAAGCGATTCCAAGGGAAATAAGAGAAAGATAAAGGCCAGAAAGAGTTGGCATTAAACTAGAGCAAAATGGACCACATTTAAAGGCCCTACAGAGTGGCAAACAGAGCAGTGGGCATAAATTAAAGCGCATGCCAGGCGGAAGGTCCCACAAAAATAACCATCTCACATCCTGGATCGAAAAAACCAACACACATCCCCTTCTGGCCATGTGTCGGGAACTCATGGTTAATCAGCTTAGACAACCTCCGTCATCGGTTTCGAGGCATTTGGCTGTTTTTCCTGCCTTTTTAGGCACATCAAGAGGCCTAAGAGCAAACAAATAACTCGAGTTCGGTGGGCAGGGGGCCTTATCCCCTGGAAATGCTTTTAAAAATTAAACAACTGATAAATGACAAAGTTCGTTGGACCAGAAATTATCGTTTGACAAATTGGCAGGCCCTGATGAGAGCTCATCTATTGCCTGGCAACCACGTGGTGAGCGAGTCCTTTCTAGATCCTCCGGATGGAGGGCACTTAAGGCAGAGCCAGACGAATTACTTGTGACCAAATGGGTCTATTGACTTGGAAAATAAACTCGGAGAAGATTTTAAGTTGAAGGATATACGTCGAAGGACTTAAAGTAAGGTGGCGAGTATGTTCTTTGTTGCTATATTTTATAGCTTTATTATATTTTCCAAGATTTTCTTTGTTCAGTTGTGCTGCTACTTAAGTTTCTTTAACCTCTTTTATTGCTTCGCCTCAAAAGACAAAACTTTGACCACAAGCCGAAACACAAAAGTTAACTTGACACTCAACCACCGAAATGTTGCTTAAAAGTGCATCATCAAAAATAGACAAGGATTCAAAGCAAGGGAAGGAAAGGGACTTTACTAATTATCCGTTAAGCAAGGAAAACGCCAGCATAAAAATCCAAAACACGCTCATAGAGCAACAATAAATTTTACGATGACCATAATAAAAATATGATTGGAGCACAAATTTTTGCACTTGTCGAGTGTCTGAGTCAGGAAAAATTGAGTTTAGGAGGAGGATTCGCCCCTCAAAATAAGATGCATCCTATCCTTTTAGGGAAACTCACTTTCCCTGCGTGCGAAATGAATGACTCGTTCCTTTTTAAGCGGACCCAGAAATATAGCCACCCTCGAAAAATCCTCCCACGGCATACGTAGTGAACTTTACGTCCAGTTTTATAGTTTTTTTTATGTAGCGCTGTCCCACTAATTGCCACATGACTTGGCCAAAGATGAAAGGACGCTGCAGGACGAAACGAAATTAATGAAATTACTTTAGTGTCGCTGGAAGGAAGGGACGTATTGCGTATTGTATATGCATTTATCCAATTGCACTTCGACCGTAGCATATAGATATCTATGTAACCAAGATAGATGTGACCACTTATACCTAGTAAACTATTGAATTTGTAGCTAATTCGAGGCAGTGCATCCTTTTTGTCATGAAAAGGGGGACCAAACGTACAATGAAACAAAGAATTCAATACGAAAAAACGTGTACTTTATTTTAAATAATTAAATCTAACTAAGTGAGATCTATAAATGTTGATAGTAGTGGAAAATTGTTAAAACTATATTCGAAATACTTTATGTACAACAATACAATAAAGAAATGTTTATGCATGTTACTAAATTCAAGCTGGTGTTTTATTTAAAGGTCTTTAAAAAATAGTAAGTAAGTATTAATATTATTATATTATAAAAATATACTTAATATGTTTTGATTGCATGGATCTTTAATGGAATACGAATAAGTCGAATATTATTAAATTATTATTATTTGATAAGATAGAGCTCATATTCATTCTAAAATATTTCGTTTAATTATTTAATAATGATACACAAAAACATACTTTTCTGATTAAAGAATGGTGGAATTATTTTTAAACTTTCAATCATAACTGAAATACAATATTTAAGTTTTGACGAAAAATAAGCAGCAATAATTTAGATATAAATAAATATGTAAAGTGGAAACTCTTCTAATATTAAGATAAGATTAGGCTCAATTTTTTCAAGAAACGAAAATGTTTCGCGGACATTTTTCAATCCAGAATAAGCGGAAGATGAATCTGTGAATTTCTGAGTCCGTTTCCGGTTCTCCCAAACTAGCGATGAACGCATCTTAAAGCGTCAAGCTCGGCTACTATCGATACCAAAGCATCAATGGGGCTTCGCGTACCGAAACGTTCGATATAAGATCGATTACATCGCGGATGGGCAACCCAGCTCTAGTCTGTAAATGTAAATAGACGGAACTTGCTGCAGAGGACAGCTAAAACGCAAGGAATCGGGCTACACAAAGAGCAGGTGCGAGCAGCCGAAGGATAGCCAGCCGCTGGTCAGTTAGATGCGCATCAAAATGGACTGCGAAGTGCAGGAGCAACACAAACATCAGCCAGGGCAGCAACAGCAACAACAACAGCAGCAACAACATCACGGCAGCAGCAACAAGTTGCTAGTGAGAAAGCAGGAAAGCTGTTCCGACGACGATGAGAGTCCCAGCCGCACGACGGAGCGCCAGAACCTGGAGTTCGCCAAGAAGCTGGGCTACAGCGAGCAGTCCATCCATTCGGCGCTGACGCGCCTGGGCTCGGAAGCCAAGCAGAACGAGCTGCTGGCGGAGTTGATCAAGCTGACGGCCGATGCACCACGGCCCGCCCACATCGGCGGGGGCGGAAGCCCGTCCAGCATGACTACCACTCATTCCTCCTCCACCGCCGGTGGCAACATCTCTGCCTTGCGACACATTGTAATCGATGGCAGTAATGTTGCCCTTTCCCACGGCAACAACCTGATATTCTCCTGCCGCGGCATCCGCATCTGTGTGGACTGGTTCCGGCAGCGTGGACATCGCGACATCACCGCCTTTGTGCCCAACTGGCGCAAGGAGATGGCAAACAACAACATAGCCGACCAGGAGCTGCTCTACGAGCTGGAGCACGAACGATTCTTGGTTTTCACGCCATCGCGACATCTGGATGGCAAGCGTGTGTCCTGTTACGATGACCGCTTCATACTTAAGCTAGCAGTGGAAACGGACGGCATTGTGGTGTCCAACGACAACTACAGGGATCTGATCCTGGAAAGCAACGAGTTCAGGCGCGTGGTGCAGGAGCGACTGTTGATGTACTCGTTCGTAAATGACATCTTCATGCCACCCGATGATCCGCTGGGCAGATCGGGTCCAAACCTGGACCTCTTCCTGTGCTCGCAGACGCAGCAGAAAATGGCGGATGCGCAGCAGTTGTGTCCGTACGGCAAGAAGTGCACCTACGGGCAGAAGTGCAAGTTCCGGCATCACAATCAGGGGCCACTGCTGCAGCGCCTCCCGCTGCAGGCCTCCCACAGTGCACCCCTGCACACGAACGGTGGTCAACAGATGGTCAGTCTTGGTGGCATCAACAACAATGTGAAGATCAGCTCATTGATTAGCCGGGAGCCACTGGGGCGCACCAAGTCCAATACCATCGAACAGGTGTGTCAGGGCTTCTCCACTCAAATAGAGCTTTCGGAGGGCTCTGTGGAATCCAACCAGCCCAACCGCCACAAGAAGCTGCAGCGCCAACAACCGCCGCCCACCTACCGCCTCCTGGTGCCCACCTACAGTGCTCCCCTCCAGCAACAACAGCCCCAGGCACAGCAACAGCATCAGCAGTCCAACTCCAACTATCACCACCAGTATCTGACGCGCACGCCATCCGCCCCGGTCACGGATCAGGGACTGGGTCTGCCACTGCCCGCTCACAACTTCGCCCATCTGTCCGCCTCCGATTCGCGCATCAACGAGGAACTGCACGCCTCGCAGCAGCTTCCGCGGGAGGAGCAGCGCCGGTTGCTTCGCTATCACCTGGGTAGCCTGTTCCCGCCGCACCAGGTACATGCTGTACTGCAGCTCTATCCGGACGAGACCGACGCCAAGACCATCTGCGCAGCTATTCTTAATTTATTTCCGCATAATTAGGCTAGACTTAAATTTCATCAATATACTTAGATGTGTAATTACACGCGTGTGTCTCTTTAAAGTTTAAAGTGTCGCTTTGGGACGACGAGGAGGCCTCGCTCGAAATTTACATCTCCAGGCCAACGATGTTGGCCGTGTCGTAGGGCAGCAGTCCGGTGACAGATTCCCGTGTGGATTGGCCGCGCCTCTCGTGGATGATCCGGTGGTTGCGCAGTTTGTACGCCTGCGGGAATCCCTTGCCGCACACTTCGCAGCTGAAGAGAGTAAACATGTTTTGAATTAACTTAAAAGAACTGCGAACTCTTGATTAATTTATGACTTAATTATAACTTATAATATTTAAACACTCGTCAAGCCTTTCTTTCCCTGTTTACCTAATCTTATTTACCCCTCAGACACCCAATAAACAATCAAATTAACTCGAACCACTAATATTACGTAAAGATCGTAAAATATGTCGTAATCTTTTGAAACAGCATAGCTCTTTCAAAATAGTTTCCACTGTGAATTGTACATTCTTATAGAATAAAAAGTATATTTTTATAAACTTCTATATCTCTAACAACTCTATACATTTATCTCAAAAACCCAAGCTGCTTCTGAAACAGTCCACACACACAATTTATCAAACAGTGAAAGTTCGTGCTAGAGAATATGGAATAGAGAATATCCGCAGGGGAAAGCGAAACTTACACGTGCGGCTTCTCTCCCGTATGAATCATTTTGTGGAACTTCAATGTGTTGGTGTAAGTGAATGTCTTGTGGCAAACGTCGCACTCGTAGGGACGCTCGTTGGTGTGGATTCTGCGGGAGGTAATTATTCAATTAAATCTGAATTGGATTGGAGCTCACAAGCTTACCTGTGGTGCTTGTTACGAGTGGACAAGTCGGCGAAGGCTGCCGGGCAATAGCTGCATTTGTACGGCCGGTTTCCAGTGTGGGTGTTCATGTGGCGCGCCAATTGCTGAGCCTGGGCGAAACAGTGACCACAGATCCTGAAAATAAGAGTAGTTTAAAAGGACTTATTGAGAAGAAATATTTCGACGATTCCCAGGAGACACCAGATTGTTGAATGTATTGTTTCTACATGGATTAAAATTATTAATCCCATTCCCTATTATTTTACTTCATGATTATCCTTCAACACAATCATTTTACCCCATTAAGACACTGCAAAGAACATAGTACACTCAGTAAAGACTATGAACAAAGAACATAGTACACTCAGTAAAGACTATGAAGCAACTTACTCGCACTCGTGGGGCTTTACGCCGGAGTGGACCTTGATGTGCTCGGTAAGGCGACTCTGGGAGGGATACATGTTGCCACAGACATCGCAGATGTACTTGAACTCCTTCTTGTCGCCTACAAGGATCTTGTGGCCGCCCTTGGTCTTGATGCCGGAATGCTTACGCGCCAGCACCTCGCCAATGGAGATGCCCTCCTCGGATTTGATGACCATTTTGCCGCCTGGCGCATCACTGTTACCCCGCCGTGCCTTAAGTGGATTGCCGCGGGCAGTTGTCTTGGAGGTTCCTGATTCAACAGCCACCGATGTCGTCGATGTAGCGGACCTGCGGGGATTCACTCTGCGCTTAATGGCATTTCGCGCATTGATGGATGCGCGAACACTTTTTGTGGGAACGAACTCCTCTTCGGTTGAGTTCAGATCGCCATCCGCATCGTCCTCGTGGGCACTTTCGGTCAACTGATCGTGTTCGACCTGATCCAAGTATTCGATTTCGGCAGATAATTCGGACAGGGATTGATCGGCCATCTCATGGTCGTAGTCTTGCTCTGTGATGACGTCGCCCTCGTAGGTCTCGTACACGTCATAAACCTCTTCGATAATGCCGTCCTCCTCCACTTGCTCGTTTTTCACATGGATAATGCGATCCTTTTCCAGTTCCACGAGGATGCCATCCTCCAGCTCGTCTTGGAAGACGCCTCCCTGAGCTTCAGCGGCATTCTCCGCCTCGGCATAATGGCTCTCGTCCAGGTCCACCTCCTCTTCTTCCTCCTCATGTTCTGGCTCCTGCTCCGCCTCATCAGGATCGCGATCCTGCTCCAGCTTGGTAGATGGCTCTGCACTTTTCTTCTCCGGTGTTCGCTGCTCCACCTCCACGGGACCGACGAACTGCCGCAGATGGCCGTACGATCTTTGGCAGGTCTCTCTGAACTTGAATGCCATTTTCAGCACCCTGAAGCACTTCTCGCATATCTTGTCCGGATAGTGATCGAACTGTTTGATCTGCCAAGGAAATTGCGTTATTACATTGTTTGGGGGTCCAATGGGACAAACTTACGGGCACGCCGCCGCACTCTCGAATCATGTTGGTCAGATCCTTCTCCGAATCGTCGTTGAAAATGCTGGCCATGGGCTCCTTGGGCTGCTGCAGGCAAACCCGGCAAACGATCCACTTCTGCGTGGTCGCTGGCGCCGCCGCCGGACTCGCATGTGCCGCCGAGTCTCTCATTGTCGCGAATAGGAGGTGGATCTATTCCAGGAAGCTATTCTCCACTCTAATATTTCGATTAGCACGCTCGCTGGACGAAGACGACGCCAAAAAAATATATTGTAGTCTGGAGCGAAGTGAACGCGTTGCAAGGCGAATGACGCGACACAGGGTGACCACGGTTCGGCGGTTCCCCGCTAGGGGTGTTCTGTTCGGTACTTGATATATTAAATAAATTATTGATAATGGATTTGCAATTAGCCAGGTATATAAAGCTTTTAAATATGAAGTCATATTTGTATGCTTCTTATTAAGTAAATGTATAATGTATTGCATTGGAAAGAAGCAGTAAACTTTGGTAAATTTTTATTTTCATAGTTCAATAAAACAGAAAAATTTTAATGGGAAACTGTGTTTCTTTATTACTAAGTCAACAAAGTATAAACGAGTTTGCGAAAGTCCAAATCTTACATTATGAGGTGATTTATCTAATAAAAATTGCAGTTAAAATTGCACATACAGCTATGTATACTGTACCATCCATGTAGTCGTTCATAGCGTGCATTCACCGTATCAACTATGGGCACCGCGTTTCGCTGTGAATGGCCAATGGCCGTGGACGCTTTCATTCAGCTGTTTGAATCTTTTGGAATAACCGAAGTAATTGTTTTATGGAATTAGCCATGAAAACTGAGTCCAACGAGAAGTGGGTTGTGTGCCGCGTTTGCCTGAACAACCCCAGCGAGGGCGAGGAGCTGCTCCATGAGATATTCAGCGAAACGGCTAGCACGCGCCTGGACCAAATGCTGCACATTTGCGCAGGCATTCCAGTAAGTGGGACACCTGGTGCATGTGTGCATTTTCAACGGCAATTATTCCTCCTCACAGGTCAGCCTAGATGACAACTTCCCGGACAAGATGTGCAGCAAGTGCGTGCGCTGCCTGCGGCTCTGCTACAAGTTCCGACTGACCTGCCAGCGATCCCATCAACACATTATGGACATGTTGGTGCGGGAGGCTAGCAACGCCAATGCCGCCGGCGAAGGAGAGTTGCTGAACAGCTCGGAGGACCTTTCGGTGGAGAGCGTGCTCAAGACTTGGGAGGAGGACGCCAGCCAGCTGGATGGCGGCATGAAAGTGGAGAGCGAGGAGGATTTCCACCAGCCGGAGCATCACCAACAGCAGGTTATCACCTACGTCGTGGAGGATGCCGACGCCGACGATACCAATATGTTCGGTGAGGACGATCCCACGCAGCCGGTGCAGACTGAGATCGATAAGGCTGAACCTTATGCTGAATATGAGGAATATGAACTACTCAGCAACGATAACTCGCCGGAAATCACACAGGAAAAGAGCTCTTCCGTCACAGCTGTTGCCACTGTAGAACTGCCCGAAGAAGAAATTACTGAGGACACACTCAGTTCAGACGAAGAGTATGTCCCAGCTCATACTAGGCCGGAAACACGCGATCGAACTGGCAGTCAGCATGTTGCATACCAAAAAACTACCCAAGAAGTGGAGCCTGTAAAAAAGAAGCTCGGCAGGAAGCCGCGAAATAAGCTGAGCACATACATCTGCGATGTGTGCGGAAATATCTATCCGACTCAGGCGCGCCTCACCGAGCACATGAAATTCCATTCCGGCATAAAACCACACGAGTGCGAGTAAGTTGAAAGGTTGGATAATAAATAATCGCTCTGGCTAATAAAATCCCTTTTTATAGGATCTGCGGAAGAGGCTTTGTACAGAATCAACAGCTGGTGCGGCACATGAACACGCACACGGGGAATCGACCTTACAAGTGCAACTACTGTCCAGCTGCTTTCGCCGATCGATCCACCAAAACCAAACATCACAGGTGATCTGACTGACGCCAAAATGCCGATGGAAATAAACCAAACTAACTTTAATCCTCTCCAGAATTCACACCAAGGAGCGTCCCTACGAGTGCGACGTTTGCTCTAGAACGTTTACCTACTCGGACAACCTGAAGTTCCACAAGATGATTCACACGGGGGAGAAGCCGCACGTGTAAGTATCAACATATTACACCGCTCCATTCTCCTGTAATGAGCGCTACTCTCTTTCAGTTGTGATCTTTGCGGCAAGGGATTTGTGAAGGCCTACAAAATGCGATTGCATCGGGGGACGCATGATAGACGTGTCGGCCCCTGGAAAGCTGACGTAGAAATGAGCACCAAAGGAGAAGATGTCAAGGGGGAAACGCCAGAATTCCCAAGTTAGTTTCGCAAAGAGGGACTCGTTCTTTTTATCTTATATGAAAAGTTTAGTCTAAGCATTAAAAAGCCATTGTTAAGTTCTTCCATTAAGCAAATAAATGTACCCAGGAAATATTATTTTGTCTAATTAACTGTACAATTGTGGTTTTATTTTTCTTACAAACAATTAAAAAAGAAAATATGATCAACCCGTTTTACTTAGAAAATTTTATAGTGGTACCCTCTTATAGCTTACAACTTCTATAGTACACAATATAGTACAATTTACAAAGAGAAATATGTGTAATTTGCGCTTTCATTTTTCGCTTCAGTCACTGCCATGTTTTCGCCTCTTTCGGCGTTTTGTGTGATTTTTCGTGGGTGTTTTTATGGTGCAGCTGGGAGAAGGACTTCTGGCAGTACTGGCAGCTAAACGGCCGCTCACCCGTATGGGTCTTTAAGTGAACCCGGAGAACGTTGGAGTAGCCGAAGGACTTGCCGCAGAACTTGCATTTGTACGGTCGTTCGTTGGTGTGAATCCTAAAGTGTAATTAAGGTCAAAATTAGATATAAGGATAGTCAATACTTAAAGAGTGTCAGAACTTTAGATATAGTAAGAATCGAAGTTCAAGCTAATTAACAGAAATCGATCTCTTGTGTTCCAGTTATGACAGCCCTATAAATATGTTTTTGTTTACCTCTGATGCTTAATGCGTGTGGAAGGATCGGCGAATCTGGAGTCGCAGTAGTCACATTTGTAGGGACGATTGCCAGTGTGCGTGTTCATGTGCCTCGCCAGCTGCGGAGTCTGGCGGAAACGTTTATGGCAGATCCTACAAGGTAAGGAAATTAATGATATAGGATACAGTAGGGACAAATCCAAATCCCTGCTTACTCGCACTCGTGGGGTTTCTCCGTGCTGTGGACTTTCATGTGGTTGGTCAACTTTACACGCTCAGAATAGACGTTGTTGCATATATTGCAGGTAAAGGATGCAGCCTGTCCGGAGTCCTCATCCTCAAACGTTTGCGGTTTGGGACTGAGTGAATAGACCGATTCCTCTGGAGCGGAGTTGGCGGGCTCTATGCTGACCAATTCATCGGCACTACATGCCACATCCTCGCTGCTCTCCAGCGTCACATCGTAGGACTCCAGGTACTCGTACTCGACCTCGCTGTCGCTGCCGGTAGCCTCATTCTTGGAAAGGTCTTTTGAATCCCTTTTCTTCTTTGTGGTCTCCTGCTCATCGTGAATAATCTCTATGTTGATCTCCAGCAGTTTCTGCTCCTTCAGCTCCTTCTCCGTCTGCTGGCAAAGGGATCTGAGTTTGAGGGCTGCTCTGAGAAGCAGGGCGCAGCTGGTGCAGATGCGATTGGGCCAGTTGGGACTCTCCCGCAACTGTGGATAGGGTTTTGTGAGTTAATATATATCATAACGCAGATATTCAAACATCCACCTCAATTCCAGTGCACCGTTTGATTTGATCTGGAAAATCCGGCTCCGTGGACATGAGGGACTCGTCCTTTGGCTGCACCAAGCAAATGCGGCACTGTAGGTCCTTGCTATCCACGTTGGTATGCATTGTTCTCTTATCGCCAGTACAAATTTCGAAATATCCAATGATTTTGTTTACCGACCACCCAAACAAACAATTAAAATTTGTGCGGCTTCGGGGCGAATGACAAACGTCCCTTCGATAAATATCGATGAATACCAAATAGCGAAGAGGAAGCAGAGTTATTTTGATCGTTAATTTTTGTCGGCCAACTCGTTTGGTTCAAATGGAGATACGACTGAACATGATGACCCTGTGCAGGACTTGTCTGCAGGATGGCGAAGCCCACATGGTGTCCATTTTCCAGACGGCAGACGATAAGCTGCCCGGTGGCGTATCCCTCTGCGACAAAATCGAAAGTTTAAGTGGAATTCAGGTGGGATCCTTTTGTTTACTGTGATATTTTTCATTAAATCCAAGTACTGTCTCACCCGTAGATTAAGGCAACTGAAGAGCAAGCGCTGCCAACGAAAATCTGCCTCAGATGCAAGGCCTTCCTAACTCTAGCCCACAAATTCCGTCAGATTTGCCAGCGCTCCAATAAATTTCTCAGGGAATACGTGGTCAAGGATGCAGTCGAGCAAAAGGTGGTTAAGGAGGTGGTGCAAGTGGTGGGTCCTACAACTCCGCCGCCAATTGAGACTGAGCAGTTCGAATCACTAGAGGATGAGGTACTTGAAGATGGAGTTTGGTCTACGGAAGATCCCATCGAGGAAATGACACCTGCACCGTCGGAAAAGGAGAGACCTACGGTACTGACGGTGCAAACGCTACCTGCTCCTCATCCTGCGCCAGAACCTGCTCCTGCTGCGTCCGTCACTGCCAAAATACATGTGTGCGAGATCTGTGGCAATGGATATCCCAGGAAGAGCACCCTAGACACCCACATGAGAAGGCACAACGATGAGCGGCCCTACGAGTGCGAGTAGGTTTACTTCCCAGGTTCTTGTGTATTTACTTTTCCCCGTCATGCGGCTCTTTTTAGGATCTGCCACAAGAGCTTTCACGTTAACTACCAGCTGAAGCGCCACATCCGCCAGCACACGGGAGCCAAACCATATACCTGCCAATATTGTCATCGCAGCTTCGCGGATCGCACCTCTCTCGTTAAGCATGAAAGGTATACAGAAATTATTACTTGCTAAAGCTAAAGTCTTGCTAACTAAATTTGATTCCTTCACAGAACCCATCGAAATGAGCGTCCTTATACCTGCCACACTTGCGGAAAGAAGTTCACATACGCCAGTGTCCTGAAAATGCACTACAAAACACACACGGGCGAGAAGCCCCACATGTAGGTGGATGCAGTTTGAACCTAAATCAGACCTAATAGCCTTTCTATTGTTACTTCAGATGCCAACTCTGCAACAAAAGCTTCGCTCGCATTCACAATCTCGTGGCACATCTGCAGACCCAACAGCATATAAATGATCCACAACTGACCGCTTATCTGAGTACTTTCAAAGTGGGGAATACTGTAGCTAGTGCCTAACAATTTCACCCTGTTAAGTAATACAAAATAGTGTATTTAAATCGTCAGTGTTGATTTTACCTTTAATGAAATGTTAAAACTCTGTACATTTAACTCAATCTAAGCCGCCCGAAAATACTAATTAACGTACTGGAAAAACAATTTGTTTAATTTTTACAATTTCTTCTTTTATTCGACTTACTTGCAAAGCGGTACGCAATCGTTTTTCTTTGTTTTCTTCTTTTCTAATTTTTGTTTACAAAGTTTACAACTTCTATATGTTGTACGAGGGAAATGCCGAAAATTGATTGATAAGTGCTGACTTGGCTCTGGTGATCGAGATAATTGTTGTGTAGGAGTAGGAGGTCGGTTGTATCCGTTAACAAAATTAAATAACAAACTATGAACTTGGATTGTGTTTGGGCAACGATGGCCGTACTGGCTGATGGCCTTTGCACAGCAAAGAAGCATCTACTTGGACACCATGCGTATCTTGTCTTTCAGCAGGTTGCGCAGCTCGGTGACCATCAGCTCGTGGGAGTCCTTAAAGGTGGCCGATACGTCGCCGATGAGCGTGGCTTCCACCTCCGGCTTCAACGACATGTCAGACATGAAGGAGCTGAGGTCGCGTGGCAGCACGGGCGCCTTCCAGGTGCCTAAGGATTTCAGAATTCAGATGAGCTAGCATCATCATTGCGCGATTTGTTGAGAGCTACTTACGTATGGCCGCATCGCAGGCCTCCAGCTTGTGCTTCAGCTGTCGTATCAGCTCCTGCAACATCTGGCTGCGCTCCTTCTCGCTGATGTGCTGCGGTCCATCCACCTTGTTTTCTACTGGCTTCTTCTTGGTCTTGGCCTTTGAGCTGACCTGCAGCTTATCGTTCAACACGGACAGCAGGAATGCGTACAGCGACAGCATCTGAAGAATTATAGTTATAGAAACATAGTTTAACATTAGATTTTCCGCTTTCGCTACCAAAAATGTACCTCCAAACTGGCAGCCACTTTCTGCTGCTGCCCTCGCCGCTTCCACAGACCGTCCATGCCGTTGCTTTCGTTGCTCTCGTTGATGATCTGCACGCACAGCTCCATAACCGTAATAACGTTGTCACCCACCCGCTTGCACTGCTCGGCCAGCTTTCCCGACCCGCTCTGCAAGTCAAGGACCAGCTGGGCGAGATCGTCAAAGAAACGTTCGTATGGCATGTCGAGCAGCAGGTGAAGGCGTGTGGGCAGCAGGTTGACTAGAAATTTTTGCGCCAACGGCTTGTAGTTCATTAGACGCAATCTCTGGAATAATCCCGTCCAGGACTCTCGCAGGAGTTCCAAGGTGGTCGTCTCCGCTCCCGTTGCCGAATCCTTTAAGCCGGCGCCGTGGTACAAGTCAATGAAAGAGGCAAAGAGTCGGAGCATCAGCGAGCGTACTTGTAGCACCTCAACTTCCTGGTCGAATGACTCCTTGCGCTCCTCCGCAGCATCCACCTCATGTAGCGGGTCCCATCGAATAATCGCCTCCAAGTCGCGATTGTCGCTCAACTCATGCCAAGCGATCCGGTCCTCCGCCGGCTCAATACTCATCGCCACATATGCTGTCAGATTCTGCGTGATATTGCCATAGCTACTGACCAAGTCGCAGATCTGCGCCTCCACCGAGCAGGCCACGTACTGTAAGCTGTTGGTTAACCGTTCCTTGAAGTTCATGAACTCCTCCATTTTGGAAAACGTACAGAAGCGATATGTTAACGCAATGTATTCCAACCTTTCCTTATAGCTGTTCGTAAAGAACTTTAGCGTAGCATCGTACACGTTCCGATTACCCGAATAGCGACCACCTAGAGGCAACAGTTGGCAGTGCACATAGCCCATGGAGTCCAGCTGAATCTGCTTAATGTCCAAATACTCGTACATCTCCTGTGCGCCCACTTGGCAGCCAAACAGATGGTAGATCTTTAGACTTAGCAGTTTCACGTGGAAGTTACTCGTACTGTTTCGCAGAACATACTGCAGCAGGCACAGAGCCTCGAACAGATGATCCGACTTATTCTCCCGTCTACTCAGGTCGTACATCACATTTGCCGCCAGCAAGGCATATGCATCCGAT